GGCTGGGTTGAGTTGGGTTGGGTTGGGTTGGGTTGGGTTGGGTTGGGTTGGGTTGGGTTGGGTTGGAAGAGAGTTTTCATGGCATTTGGACTTGTTATCAAAGTTCCCATCAGCGCTTCCTATGGGAAACTGGGATGTGGCGAAGTCAGAAAAAATGAGCTGGGAAAACAAAGATATTTCACCTAGAAGCTAATTCCCTTCCAAAACAAAACGGGGATTGGGACAGAACCAGAATTTACCAATAACCCAGAGGATCAACTGTAGGAAAACAAAGATGGCAAAGAGTCACTGTTGGCTGGAATCTGGATCCCAGCGTTCTGCAGCTTGGGAAGGCCTCAATAACCCAAATATCCAGGGAAAATCTCACCAGGCTCCTGCCAAGCACAGAGACACAAGGGGAAGAGGGAAGCAAGCCGGAGCCATAGATTTCTCTCCATTTATGGGGAAATCCTCTGAGGTGCTTCAGCCCCTTTGAGGGAAATCAGGAAAATGCCAGGATCAGCTAAGGACATTCAAGGAACTGAGTTGTGATTCCCAGATTAAATCCAAGCCCAATGGGATGTGGATAACCTCAGGCAGGAGAGAAACTGAGACAGAATTCCTAAGGAACACAAGTTGGCTTTCAAATGGTCATTCCAGGCCCATCCAGTCAGGATCATTTGGGCTGGAAAAATCTTCCAAGGTCACTGAGTTCAACGTGTGCCCAATCCCCACCGTGTCACCAGCCCAGAGCTCCAAGTGCCACGTAAAGTCTTTCCTTGGACACCTCCAGGGGTGACAACTCCACCATCCCCTGGACAGCCCCTTCCAAGCCTTTCCAGGAAGAAATTCCTCCTGGTAACCAACCTGACCGTCCCTGGCAGAGCCTGAGCGATCTCCTCTCATCCCGACCCTTGTTCCCTGGGATCTGATCCCGACCTGTCCCTGGCTGCACCATCCGGTCAGGGAACTGTGGGGAAACAGCAGGTTCTCCTGGAACCTCATTTTTCTCTGGGATGAGCCCCTCGGGGCCTTTCCCAACTTCCCAGCCCCTGGGAAGGACAGAGCTCCTTGGACATCCCTCTTTGATTCCCTGAGGTTCTCCTGGCATGGAATTGGCAGATGTGACCTGGGTGATAAAATCATGGGATATCCCACATTTGGAAGGGATATTTCTTAGACTTCTCCTCCAGCCTGGAGCCTTGGTTGTTCTGCAGGAGTTTTTGGCACTCCAGCTCCCATCCCTGTGGAAGCCAATCCATGTCCAGCTCCACGTGCCTGAGGAAAGAAAATCATGGAATTTTCCAAAAGACAAGCACGGGGAAGGAAAGAGACGGTAATGAAAATTGGGATTGGGATTCTGGGATTCCAGGCCGGTTTTTGAGCACGGATGTTTCTGTTCCATCATTAACCCAAGGGGAAATTCCCTTTCCCAAGAATTCAAATGAACAACAGAAGAATAGGAAAAGTTAACAGCTCTGGAGCCATTTCCATCTTGTTTTTGGTTTTGGTTTTTTTAAATTAATTTCTGGTTTATGCTCCTTCAAATAAAGGTAAAATCTCTCCAAATTAAAAATTAATTCAAACTGGGAAAGAGAAAATAAATTCCATTAGTCATTCCAACAATTCCATGACTGATTCCCCTAATAAAGGACCAAAATCCCAATTATAAATCAGATTTAGGCGAGGGCAGATTGTTTAATTAATTCAATTAGGCAGCAAAGAAATTAACATAAAATGATCATTAACATCCTGACTTGACATCATCCACAAATAACAGGATTTTTCCATTGAGGCAAAAAACATTTGTATCATTTGAATATCAGTAACAACCCCCCAGCTCAGTATTCTCCCAAAAACTCTCAAAATGGACATTTCTAACCAAGCCAAACTTACCTGAACAGCCAGATTTGAAATATCCATGTTGAATTCCAGGTGGGTTAAGGAATTGAGGAATTTTTGTATTCCCTGGACACGAATCTTTTCCACATCTGTGAGGTAACAGACTCCAGGAACCCCTGCACCAAACCCTACAAGTTTTAAAAAGGGACTTTGACCACAAAAAACTTTTTTTTTTTTTTTCTCTCAGGTGCAACATTCCAACCAATCCCAACAGCCTGGAATCGGGAAATTCCAAAGATTCCGTTTGTGGCACGCCTTGATCCAAAGGACAGCAGGAAAAGGTTTCTAATCCTCAGCACACGGCAGCTCCTTTTCCAGCCTGATTTTCCCACAATTCAAAAAACCTTAGGAATGGGAGGTGAAGAATCCCAAACTGGGGGTGGATTGTACCAGCAGGATGACTCGGAGTTAAAACTGGGATTGCACAACACAGAGACCGGGTTGGAATCCACGGATATCGAAAAATTGTGGGATTTAGATCTTTAAGGTTCCAAAATTTTCCAGATTTGTTTATTCCCACACCAGTTTTGTTCTGGATTAGGGACCAGGAGAGAGTCAGGTTGCGCAGGGAGCTGGAAAATAATTTGATTTACAAGATTCCCATCCTTCAGGACTAACGAACAAGGCAAAATTTCGGGAACTGTGGTGATTCCAGGTGGGATCAAACAAGGCCAGGACCCAAAACCAACGAGGTTTCCAAGGAATCTGGGTTTCCTTGGACAAACTTTGTGGTTTTATGACATCCTGGATGGATGTCCTGGAATTCCACTGACTTTCCCAATCCAAGGAAAATCAAGACTGCTTTCTCCTGGATATTTCCTCCACGCTGGACACCATCCTATAAATCCATGGGATTAATGGAGTACTGAGTTCTGGCTCGGGGTGGAGGGTTGAAGCCACCTGTTTTCTGATTGTGGGGTTTTTCTTCAAAAATATTCCAAACATATTCCAAAAAATATTCCAAACATATTCCAAAAAATATTCCAAACATAATCCAAAAACTTTTCTGGGAAAACTGTGCCTTGGCCTCACCACCCTCACAGGGAGGAATTTCTTCCAGGTGTGGAATCTTTTCCTTCCCCTTTTTTCAAGATAAATCAAGGAATTTTTGTTTTATTTTTATTTATATTTATTTATATTTATTTCGTTTTATTGCATTTTATTGCATTATATATATTTTATTTTTATTATTTATATTTTTATTATATATTTATATTTATATTATATATATTTATTTTATTTATATATTTATATATATATATATTTTATTGCATCTTATAACTTTTTTTAAATAGATATCATGATTTAATTAATCAACAAATTGCCATCAAAAAATTTTCCATTACAAAACCAGGAAAAGCTTTGCCCCAAAAACTCAACCACCTCCTCCCACTCCAAAAATAAACAGAACAATCCCAAACTAAGCTTGGAATTTCCATGACAAAAAGGAAGAAAAC